TTCCGAATGCATTTTATACTCTTTATTGTAAATGTTGAGATATATTGATTTCACTTTTGATTTCACAAATGACGTGAAGTAATGTATTCATTTGTATATTATTTTTTATAATTTTATTGCATTTGATTTTCCATATTCAATGTTTTACCCATGTCATTGTTAAGTTTGAAAGCTTATCAATGTTGTAACGATGAATAATGTATAGATTAAATATTTAAAAAAAAGAGCCGGACTTGAAATTAGTTTAAGTAAACTGTGTTCAAATAGTTCAAATGTCCGAAACAAAAAAAAAAATATTAAGTGTGGCATATCATTGTACTCAGGAGATCGAGTTCTTTCAAAACCTGAAATAAAAAATGCAGGTCCGTATTTAAAAAAATTAAGTTCTCCTCTGTATCTCACAAATTATCATCTAATTTGAGAATCTAAAAACATTGTCAGATGGTCCTCATAAAAGGGCTATGAGAATGTGTAATTAGTTTTTTGATTTCCTAAAAAGCAACGACAGGAAAAATAACATTGATTTTCAAAAAAATCCATTTTTACCAAAAAACTCAGCAATCCTTGAAATTTTTAAAACTTTTTTGATGGCATCTTGGTGAACATCCCAAAGCGCAACTATGCCCCAATTTAACCATGTTCGTATCTATTACAGTTATACCGAGATCCCAATGCTCGAATTTGAAGCACCCTGTATACTAGGTTATTTTTAGAATTTAATTTTCTGTTTTCTGTTATTGATATTCCAATAAGCCGGATTAAAGACATTTTTTGAAAAAAAAAATAACCTAATCATGTCGATGTTTTAGTAAGACTAGACCGCATCCTGCAGCGGCATGAATAGCGCGCGTTGTTTATCAACAACAGCGTCGGTATTAATACCTCCCATTGATATCGGTTTCCGTTCCTGTATTATTCTTATCGTATATTAATTCGTTTCCGGCATTACCGCCGCTTCGGAAGGTGAGGCGGTGTGGGCGTCATGTTTACGTCATTTGTCTGTCAGATAAAGGACACAGGCATCGGTTTTGTATGAATTCGATTAGATTAGCATTAGCACTCAAAAATGGGTAAAATCTTTAGTCTAAGGTAAAATCAATCAAAATGAGCGCATATTTTTAACCGAAACACAAAAAGTCGAAATTAAAGAAGTATTGTATAAATTTAGATAATATCAAATCGATTAATTCTAGTTTTCCAGGGACTTTTGTTTCAGACCTTCCTTATAGGCTTGGTGCATTTCAGTTGATTTCAACAAATTCCCACCGCAGCGCTTCAACGGCAAAAATCAGAAATTATCAGTATACAGGGTGCTACAAATTCGAGGTACGAGCATTGGTATCTCGGTAACCGTAATAGATACGAACATGGTTAAATTGAGGCAAAGTTGCGCCTTGGGATGTTCGCCAAGATGCCATCAAAAAAGTTTTAAAAATTTCAAGAATTGCGGAGTTTTTTGGAAAAAATGAATTTTTTGGAAAATCAATTTTATTTTTCCCTGTCGTTACTATTTAGAAAGTCAAAAAACTAATTGCACATTCTCTTGGTCACTTTATTAGGACTATCTGATAGTATTCTTAGATTTTCAAATTAGCTGATAATTTGTGAGATAACGGGGCCAACTTAATTTTTTTAAATACAGACCTGCATTTTTTATTTCAGGTTTTGAAAGAACTCGGTACAAGATATATTACACTATATACTTTTTTTGTTTTGGGTACTTTAACAACAACAAAACTATTTAATTATTATTTAAAGTCCGACTCCGTTTTTTTAAATTATTTAATCTGATTATATTCATCGCAACAATATTGATCAGCGCTAATTAACATTGAATAAGGAAAATCGAGCCAATTGGAAGATTCAAATAAATAATATCCAGGTCAGCAATTTAAAGATATTATTTTTAACTTTTTTATTGTGAATTTGAAATCTCAGTGTGTGATCTAATAATATACATTAGCAAAAAACTAAAATACTTAAATATTGTGACAAGACCTCGATTTCAATATTATTTTAATGCGATCGAAATGACGGCTGCGTGAACTATATATTGATAATATCTGATTTCTGCGGTCGGAATTTGTTAAAATCAACTGAAATACACCAAGCCTATACAAATAAAATCAGACAATATCATATCAATTAATTCTAGTTTTCTACCTTTTCGTCGACTGGAAAGTCAGTTACCGGTAACGGCTAGACCGTTAACTTTTAATCCATAAGGATATTTCGAGATTTTTTATTAATCGACCATACCAACAGGTATGGTAGGCTATTAAGATCGGCAAAAAAAGTTTTTTTTTTAATTTCACTCTAAATGAGTTATTTGGGTTATAAATGACCTAAATTTATAGGAGTTGTTGCTTAAATACAAAATATTTTCATGGTGTCTGTCTGTCCGTCTGTCTGTAACACAATAACTCAAAAACCGCTAAACCGATTTTAACCAAATTTGGCACAAAAATACTGTGGCACCCGAGAATCTGGTCATTAGTTTTTGGTGGGGGTGGGGGGTTGTGAAGGAGGTATGGGAGGGGGTTAAAATTTTAAAAAAATTGTGACTCCAAAATTACGCAGTAGCTAGCGAAACGTGGTTTTCAATTTAAGATTAGGAATAATATTTGCAACAAAATTTGTAATAACATCAAAATCAGTCAAAGTCGCAGTTTTTGAGATAAAAAAAATTGGAAAAATTCCTTTACTTTGAAACTAAAAGAACTGCCTACCAACTTTTTATTAACATATTTTAGTATGGGCGGCTATACGTGCCTCCCGGCGCCATTTTTTTTCCCTTTCCGTTACAAGTTTTAAGCTACCTAAAATTCAAAATTTAAAGTTTGTGACACATCTAGAAGTACCTTAGAATTTTGATGATCTCTCAGTGAGGCAATGTCAAAATTTAAGAAATTTGACAACCGATAATTGATAAACTATGACGTATAATTACTAGATATTTTGGTAACCTAGCCAGCTATGTATCCACATTTTTAGTAAAAATTAATATTCTTGCTTTATCCACAACGAAGTTACAGGGTGGTCATAAGTGCCGCTAATACCTTCGAGAAAAGGATAGTATGATTGTGCCAGACTTGGCTGGGGCACTGTTGTGTCCCCAGATTATTTTTGCATAAGTAGCCATAGGATTTTTTTTGCACTCTGTACTTTAGTACTACTTACTACTTTTCGTACATTGGACATAATCTAGAATTTCTTCTAACCCAGTAAATGACAAACTTTTTTAACCTTGCTCGGCTCTTTTGGCCCTTGTAACATCCCGACATATGTCGGTCCTGTTATAGACCAACCTCTATCTAACCCAGAAGTGAATCGAAATAGGTTTAGTGTGTGCTAAAAACGGTTTAGACGGAACCGTTATCGTCAGACGGCGTTCTTTGGGGGTGTATCCTTTCATAGTGTTTCCGACCGAGACGCACATGTTTTCTGTCTAAATAGATATCCGACTGACGGTTAGGATGCGAAAAAAGCGCTCCATTGATTAGGAGCGAAACGAAGGAAATACTCTGTATGGGGCGTTTTTTTCACTCGAGTGGTTAGAGATTAATGTCTATTATTACAGGCTGTTTTCATTTTCATCGTTTATTTCCTTTATAAGGTTTATAAAATTGTTCTTTATTTTATTAGTTCAATAATAATAATACTTATCCACAATCATACTAGTGAGATAAAGTAATTTTTTTTCAAACGTCATAGAAGTATTAATTTTTGCAACGTGATTGACAATATAAAAAAACCATTATATAAAAACTACAAAATAAAAAAAACCACGCCTAGGCATAAAAGTAAACCACTTTTACGCCTAAGCATAAAAGTACGAAAATATATGATTAAACTGATATTAAGTGTCAAATTCAACGAGCCTCCGTAATCATAGTTTTTCTATATACCGGGTGCGTCTCAAAAGTGGCTCACCTCTATAACTTTTTTATTATTTCAGATAAAACAACGAAACTTGGTATGTTAGTATATGACATAAATTAGGATTGATTGACATATTCAATTGTTTTTGGCCACTTCCGTTTTCACCGGAAATGACTACAACTTCTGATTTTTAAATAGCACCCTCGGTATTTTTTTACTTTATTCGATAGATAATGACACTCTGAATAGAATGACATATCATATGTCAACTTTTGACATTTTTGCATATGGTTTATTTCAAATTGTAACATGCGGTGCATAACGACAATTTCACTCGAAATATGTGTGTGGTATCAAATTATTCGTAAAAAATGGTTTTTTCAAATATGCTAATGAGCAACCCTCGTTCCATTTGAAAAAAATGAGATATGATTAAAAATACGATTTGGACATCTTTTAACCGGCTAGGACAAGACACTAAAAACATTAGACGATCAAATCTTTTTTCCAAGGCTCCTTGATTAAAAATTCGTGTTTTTCACACAGCCCTGGCACTCTAGATTGAAATTTAAAATACAACTTCACTTTGGGCGAATATGTCAAAAGTTGACATATGATATGTCTTTCGATTCAGAGTATCATTTTCTATCGAATAAGGTAAAAAAATACCGAAAGTGCCATTTAAGAATCAAAAGTTGTAGTCATTTCCGGTGAAACAGTAAGTGACCGAAAACAATTCAATACCCCAATCAATCATAATTTACATATGTCATAAACTAACATACCAAATTTAATTTTTTTATCTGAAAAAATAAAAAAGTTATAGGGGTGAGCCACTTTTGAGACGCACCCGGTATAATTACTTACAAGATATTACCGTTGGTATTACTTTAAATATTTTTACATAATTTGAACCGTTTGAGATTGTTAAATACTATTCTATTCGGAGTAAAAATTACTTTTTGAGCTTTCGCCAGTAATGTCAAACGCACAGACTCGCCACAAAAAGTGTCATTTTTACTCTTAATAAAACAATATACCTACTATTATTTTAATTTTTACCTACAGGTATGCCTAAGAGTCACTTCATTTAATTAATTATTATCTTTTGTTTTCAGATTGCGCAAATAGAGCGACATACGTTCTAAACTACCGATCCATCTCAAGATAGGCTATTATAACAGGAAGATAAAGATGGCGTTACAGGCAGCTGAAGGACCAATCAGATATGGCTTACCGTCCGAATGGGAAAGATTCAACAATTACAACGTCAATCATTCAGATAGTGAAGAGGAAGATACACTGCCTAAAGGTAGGTTGAGTATCGAATATATCTTGTAAATACATAAAGTGTTAAACAGCCTTTAAACTATGCGGATAACTCTTCGAAACAGGTCAAGGTCGCATTTTGCCTTACCGAACCTAACCTAACCAACTTTGTCACATTTTCTCGATTATTTCCAGTTTTGGGAAGTTTATTACTCCATTCCTGAGTTTTCTTCGATTTATTTCCAGTTGTCTTGACCCACTTCGGTTTGCCTCGACCTACTTTCGATTCTTAAAAGCGCCTGAAAACTACGCGTTTCGTGTTGCTTCGTTCAGTTTTGTTTTGTTTTGAGCTATTTCCAAAACGTGGCGGTATCTGTACCCGAGTCAAAGGATTTTTTTTATAAATCTCAGTGAAATAAGTAAACCTAGACGTTTCTAAAATAGCTGTTGATACGATGATATTTCATTAATTACATCTCTTTTCTCGTTTTATGTGGATATATATTCCACAAAATTAATATTTGAACACGCGTTTATAATATGTAGAGTAGATATTTAAGAACAAAACTTTTCACGCAATCTGCAGGAATATAATTACACAATATGTTTATTATTAATTTTATTATAATGATGGATTATAACCTATAAAAGGCGGTCCGCCAGAACAGTTAGTCACTGCGTATTGCTCAGCGGGTTTACGATTTTAAGTTTTGAAATTATATTTTCTTTGTAATTTTGTAATTGGCAACGGCCCAGCTACGTCGAAACACCGGTTCCCATTAGAACACCGAAGTTAAGCGACGTAAGGCGATACTAGTGGATGGACGGGTGACCGGTTCGAAACTCTGTATCGTGCTGTTGTCCAAAAAAGGCAAAGTGTAAAATCTATTGACACACACTGCTCATTCACGCCGGTTCGAGGCCGGATGAGATCGGATATCTCGTGAGTAAGAGTCGATTTAGACACTTGCCAAGTCGGTAGGCTATTGACCATGATATGACCGAGGACCGCGGTTCGGATTCCGCGTAAACAAAATAGGCCCCGTCCAGATTAGCACTGGCAGCAAAAAGGAGGAGAGTTAACTGATTTTTTTTTAATTTTGTAATTAATAATGTTAGACAATGATTAAAACTAAATATTCTTGTGTAACCTTAGAGGAATAGCTAATTTAATCTACCATCGGTAACTGTTTTCTAAATTGACTGTTTTTGATTTTTCATATCAATTTAATATAGTGGTATTACATTTCAGTCCATTACAAATTAATGATATTTATTCATAATCCATGTTTGCTTATTTTTCTGAAGCCACACAACGTTTGACCTTGATTTGTTGACTATTTCACAAAACAGTACGATAAATATAAGCCCGTGTTATAAAAATTAGTTCCAACGTTTCCTGAAATTGATCGAGACGCGCCGTGATTGTTTGTTTGTTTTTTATTATTAACCCATATTAACAATATTATTACAACAATTTGATTAACAAAACAAACAACCAATCACGGCGCGTGTCCATCAATTTCAGGAAACCTGCAGTGGGATTCTGTAAGCTCCGTAGCAAGAAATTTCCTTGTCTAGCCTACGCTATTTGTATACGATTGATGAGTCACTAGACAGGAAATATGTTTACAGAATCGGGTCCCTGGGAACTAATTTTTATATCACGGGCTTTATTTGAGTTTATTTTACTTCTGAAAGTATTTCCAGAAATGTTTTGCGAAATGTTCACGAAATATTACCAGAAATATTTCGCAAAACATACAGAGACAGTGTAGAGGCTGTTTTACAGATAAGGTCCGCATCATATGGACCTTTTTTATTTTATAATATATAAACTTTTTTTCACTTGATATTGACTTCGGCGATAGTTTTTGCTTTATATTCAGATTAAAACTGACATCAGAAAAACTTCTTAGCTTTCGGGTATCTGTCATACTTGACATTTAAAATAATATATGGCTGTAAAATAGGTTTTCTGGCTGAATTTCGAAAATCTATATTTGAAAAATTTGTGTTTTTTTTTAAATTCTCATATAAACATACCAATTTCTAGACATCTATATGAAAACAAATGTACTTTTTAACAATAACAACCGACCCTCGTGATAGAAATAAAAATAACTGATGGAATCCCATTTGCCAGTCAAATATTTATCTATTATATTTAGTTAAATGTTTTAAACATGACATCACTTTCTTACGAAAAGTTAAATTTTGTTGTTAAAAACTGGCTAGCTTGATGCAAACTATGAATTATTCGTCCATATATCGCGTCAACATAAACGTTAATTCAACATCAATTTTAAATATTCTCTGGAAAAATCTATTTACCTATTTTCTGATTTTTCTTTTCCAGATCCTCGTCAGTGGTCCAGAGAACACGTCATGCAATGGCTGAGATACACCACCCAAGTCCACGGTCTTCCCGATGTCCATCCTTCCAGGTTTCTCATGAACGGGAAAGCTCTGTGCCTCATGTCCCCCGGAATGTTCCTGTCCAGGGTACCGCTAGGGGGAAAACTCCTCTACAAAGATTTCCAGCTACGACTGTGCGCTGCTATGTATTCCAGAAGTTAGACATCCCCGATTTTGTTAAAAAGCTATTTATTTTAGGAATATTTGTATCGTTTAAGTGCGTAATGAGTTTAAGGGTTACGTGAAGTTCCTTGGATATAATGTCTTACCTTAAATATTGACCTCAATTTGTTTTTGGTAACCATATGTTTGAATCATATAAGTAAAACTCTCCATAAGGCTAGTGAGTAATAATACATAAAACAATTTATCTTTTCAAAATAAAAATTTCGTTTACCTGAGATTTCCTGTTTTATGTTCCGATGCACCACACGCGGTCTAACAATTGATATCCTTTTTTATCCTTGTTCACAGCATTCTGCATGTTGTTGTGGTTGCACTCTCTTTGTAGGTGCTTAAAATCTTTACTAGCCTATAGAAGTAGTACTTATATGGCTTGAATATTACCATTTTCATACCTATATTTAGGCCAGTTTAATTTAAATATAATAATTGCAAGATGCTGTTCCGTTTTCAATCATTTGGTTTGATTATTATGAATATGATGCTGTAATTTTATAGATTGTTCACTCTTAGTTACTTACACTTGTCTCTTGATAGGCCAGAAATGTTTAAAAATATTTTTTTTGTTGATTATTTTTATAAGAACTAATTTTAGATTCTACCTCAGTATTTGTACAGGTTGATTTATATTTGAACACATAATATAATATACCTTCTCTAAGTTTTTAAATTTCTATAACCTTGTCTTGAATTTCTTTTTGTATAAATAAATATTACTAGGAATAATAGAGAATCTTTTAGACTGATTTTTTATTAAGAATAATTTTTGTAAGATATATAAATTTGTATATTTTTGCTAGTCATGTATATATTTTTCTTTTGAGAAAGTTATTTAATTTTGTAATATTGGTTGATAGAAACTTTTGTTAGATGTAAAAATTGTGGAAATTAAAAGAAATGATTATGATGGAAAAAAATGTGTTTTCTTCTATTAGTTTTTTCTATATTGTTCCTCCTATTAGTTTTTTAGTTTTGTTTGATGCTAGCTTATTCTTGAACTAAAATTGCTTAAAATAAAAGTTGATATTAATTTTCCTTATTAATTAAATCTACGATAAAAAATCTGCTCTATTTATTTAATAATTCCCAATTAAGTTCTCCAATGAAAAGAATATACAAAAAAGCAGGGTTGGCATGATTTAAATCGTGATTTAAATCAAGTGATTTTTTTAATTTTAATCATGTGATTTAAATCAAAAAAGAATATTTTATTGAAACTTTTTAATACATCAAAAAATAACTGTAAAAGTTATAAAAATGTGTCCTAGAAAACTATAAAAAATATTTCTATAACAGATATAACAGATAATAAATCGAAAAATAATTGTAAACGTTATAAAACTATATAAAAAACTATTCATCAATTTAATTGTTGGACCGATTTTTGAACTAATTTCTTGTTAATTCATTAGACCGCTAAATGCAGGGATTTTAAAAATTATGTATAAGTTACAAAAATTCGCTATTCGAATACATATCATTCGCAAAGTCTAATGCAGAACTAGGTTCTACTTATAGAGGGACTATATTTTCATTCCCGAGAATCTACAATCGTTGTCAGAAAATATGTTGTTATATATATTTTTTTTAAACGGTTGTATGTTTCCAAATTCCTACCGACATTTTGATCTGCAGTAAGTACTTTACACTTTGATATTAGATAATACATACTAATTTCATTCTCGACTTAAGACTATTTCCGAACAATAGTGTATTGTTTTATTAGGAGTAAAAATTATACTTTCTTCGACGATGCTGTACCTTTGAAGGACTATCGTAAAGCTATTCCGGCGTTACAGTGAGGCATAAAAAGTACATTTTTACTCCAAATAGAACATACTATTTTTTTTAAACGTTACAAATATTTTTTTAATGAATTTCAAACATTGCAAATAATGTAAACAGTAATCGAGTAACAATTTGTACACTCGTTGAATTTGACACTTAATATCAGTTTAATAATATATTTTTGTACTTTTGTGCTTAGGCGTAACAGTGTTTTACTTTTATGTCTAGGTGTTAAAATGACAAAAGTTAATACTTTTGAGACGTTTGAAATCAAATCCTTTTCATCTGATGCGAACGACTTTTTTTGCGGAATATATTGGTGACCGATGGAAAAATCACACGCCCCGTAGAATTGTTAGAATTGTTGTCGGTATCGAGGTAGAGATTTAGCCATTTAGGATAGGACTTTAATTGGAAATAAGTCCTAGTCATTTGGTTTGGTTTGGTTTAAATATTGTTTTGAATTAAAATCAAAAAAATCTGATTTAAATAAAAAAATCATATTTTTTTTATTTTTTTTTTTAAAATCATGATTATTTCCAACTCTGCAAAAAAGAGATTAAAAAAATATAAAAAATAAAAGTTTAAAAATAACTATTAATCTAGCAGCACAAGTAATTAGAGTATTATTCGATGGTTTTAATGATTTTTGAAGTATGGATATAGATGATTTAACGAGATTTAAGAATATGAATACTAATCATACTACCTTTAAAATTATAAATAATAACATACAAATAAACAGAAACGTGTAGAAAGCCTCTCAGAGAGATATTAGTAATTTAAATTCTCCTGTCTGCTAATAAGACTATTATATTCTTATAAATTTAATTATATTAAACAACAACTAATAATTCGATTATCCATTTAGTTACCAAGCTAAACATTTGAGTATTAAAATTATTTAAATTAATGAAACCTACCTGGTATATTTGTATGTACATAGATGGTATTGAAGTAAGGAAATACCGTAAAAATATAAAGTAACAAAACTTTTCAGTTTATATTTATATACATATTATTATGATTTTTATAAAACGGGCTTTTACATCACAGAGAATCGTCATTATCAATTTTAAATGTTCGATTAATTTTAGGTGTTTTCTTAAACGTTTTTAGATTATTAATAATTAATATCTACTATATTCATAAAATAATTTATTAATAATAAATAATTATAATAATTGTGCTTTAAAAACTAGAAATTGTCATAAATTATGATTTACTTTGATTCTGATAGTAGTTTTTCTATCTTACTCAACAATAAATAATAATAATGCTATAAAATTATTAATAACTTATTTGTTATGTTATTTATCCATATTGAAAAAATTAAAGAAGTAAATTTGATAATACATTAAAGAAATAATATTATCAAATTATTAATAAGATTCAATCACATTGAAAAAATAAGTAAAATCTATTTTTATCTTTTCCTTTCGCCATATTGTCAAGAAAAAGGTATTTTATATACAGGGTGAGATTCCTACGATGTTCTCTATGGGTATCTCGGAAACTACTGGAGATAGAGAGTCGGTTAAATGGGGAAAGAATTGCAGTTATGTGGGGTCATAAATATGCGCCTTTCAGATTTTTGAAAAAGTTGATGGCTTACTAGATATTTCGAAAAAAACAAATTTCGGGTTTTTTAAAAATTGTCCGTAATTCCATTATAATCTATTTTAGACAAAAAGTTTTCAGATAAAAGTTGTAGATAATCACATCCTTAATGAGACTGTGTCCTCCGTTTTTTTCTAAAGCCTGTCATTTTTGACATATGACACAAACATAGGTTTTTTTAAATGGAAACCATAGTTGGCCGTGACTTCATAAAAAGCGCCATTTTTTAAGTTTTTTAGTGATATATCACTAAAAAGCTATAATATCTTTTCTTCGAAAAATTACTGCGTTAAAGTCAATTCTTATGATTTTTAAACCAATTCACTTAGTTAGCCATGGAAACAAGTTCCATGGCTAACGTATAAAAAATTACTTATTATACAGGTTGGTCTGAAATGTATTCTGGAAACTTTGGCAGCATATTCTGCAGATAAATATAAATAAAAAAGTTCGTATACATTTATGTCGTAAAAGGCTTCGTTTCGAAGATACAGGGTGTAGAAGTATCATTTTTATTTCAATTTTTTCCAAATAATTTCTGAGCTAACGCCGATATTTAGATAAAAATTGGTCCCTGAGTGTTTTTTGAGATGAGACAGGTAAAGACAGGCACGGACGAAAAGTTATAACTTTTTAAATCAATATAAAATAAGAATAAATCATGAAGGTGGCTCCCCCTATAAGTAGGAGTCATATTGACATCGATATCATATTTCTCATGCCCAAAAACACCCAGACATCAATTTTCATTTAAATATCGATGTTAGTTCAGAAATAATTTGGAAAAAACCGAAATAAAAATGAAACTTCTACACCCTGTATCTCCGAGCCGAAGCATATTAGGACATATAGCGAGAAGTTTCTATTTTTTATAGAGAATTAAATTTCCGGAATACAATTCGGACCACCCTGTATAACATTACAGGTATTTATTGCTGTTAGAAAAAGTACACATAGTGTTTCTCCTGTATGTTTAGTGCAAATTTTAATTTAAAAATAAAAACAAACGTTTTAAGGATTAATTTTTATTTTCTTATTATAGACTTTAATTTTACCTTCACCATTTTGTCAATAGAATATTTTATTAGAATCTACAAACAAAATATTTTTTTGTCCTGTGTTTTGATGTATTGCTAGGGAGGCTAATTTGTGTCTATATGAATTCTGAACTTAAATTTTAAAAAAATAAAATATAAAGTGCTTAAAAATAAAAAAATCCGTACGATTTAGATCATTCTCTCTCTAAAGACTAACTAAACTATCATTTTAATATAGCGGTTTTTTCCAACAAAAGAAACCAATATTATAACTTTTAAACGTTCGATTAATTTTTAGGCGATTTCTTACAGTAATGTTTCATTATTAATCTGCGATATTTATAAAATAATATATATTTTTCATAGGAGAAGTTGGCTCTAACTAAAAACAATCATGAATTACTTTGATTTTGATAGGAGTTTTATATCCTATTTATCAAAAAATAATTATATTATACATGCTATCAAATTAATCATAAGATATTCATTTACATTGAAAAAAATTAGTAAAATTTGTCTATTGCATGTACCTTCGCCATATTATCAAGAAAAACATGACAGAATAATGAATAATAATATGTTTTTATAAACAACAAATTTACTTATTATTTATAATTATTGTTATCGTTAACTATTAAAATACGCATACTTACTATTCTCACCTTATTTTTGCTGCATGATTTAGTCTAAAAAATAAAAACAATGCTTAATTTTATTAATATACACTTTACACTTCACAAATTACCCTTCACCATTTAGTCATCATAAAATAATTTGATTTAAATGTCAAGTCGCTGTTACTTTTTAATTTGAGCGTTCTGGTCTTCACTTTATCCTTTCGAGATCCGTGGTCCTTTTTCTATTTCAAGTACATATCACTCCATAAAATAAAATAAAAAAATTCCATACGTTTTACTTTATGTGACATTGTATGCACCTATTAATTTCAGTATATCATAGATGATAATGTCCTTATGAGTCCAGTCCATTGTTGACTGATGACGTTTTATTTAGGTCAGAAACTAGCTTTCTGTAGGTTTATATTCAGGTGTTCAACTCATTGGCGTAACAACAGGGGTACCCGGGGGTGCCGCCCCCCCCCCCACGTACTGCTGGGCACCACCCAGAGAAATCCTGAATTATTATGACTCTTGGCTACGTATTAATTCTTATTTGCTTGTAATGCAGTAAAAATGACGTTTTTTAGTTTTGTTTAGTTAAAATTATTTTGTTGTGTTCAAAAAACGCGTGTTAATTTTTATTTTTTTAAAATTTGTAGGTATTTAAGTAATCTACGGGAACACGGTTTGATATCCAAGTCTATGAAATTTATTGATAATGAAATTCATGTAAACGTTTTATTCAAAAAATGTGTTTTTTAAAATTATTTTTCTTAAAAAAACAAAAGCTCTAGTCCCCCCATGCCCACCCCAGGATAAATTG